GAGAGAGAGAGAGACCCAAAGTTTCCGTATTTGAAAATTTTGGCCCCAAAGTTTGTTTCGTGTGGTGTTGAAGAAATGGGACTAATCTGTCCCACATCGAAGATTGAATGAAGCTAAAACATCTATAAAAGCCTCACATAATATGCTTGAGTTGTTGAATGTGTGCACACTTATCAGCGCATGTGGCATCCAATTGGTTGGTGGGGCCCATGGGAAGGTGATGCCACTTTTTGGGACAAAAAATACTGCGTGGGCTTCTGCCCCTTGTTTTAATTTTTTTTTTCAAAATGACACAAAGAAAAATTTCAAAAAATGCACTTATCCAAGTTTTCTCATTCAAACTAGTTTGGACCAGAACCGACTGGTTTTGGCCTCACAAATTCGGCTGGCTTTTGATAGAATCGACCAGTTTTGTTAGCGATCTGACCGGTTCTAGCGGAGACCCCGCCGGTTTTCGATATATGGCGGGAACCGGATCGCCATCGACGATTTCCAATCCAGATCGGGCGATTCCAATCTGAATCATCGCCAAATTTTCAAACCTGTGGAGTTACCCATGACAAAAGTGGTACGGAGTTTGTCTTTATGTTTCTTTAAATAGTTCACTCGAAACTCTAAAAAAATAGTGGTTGGAGTTTTTTAGTTATGCTATGGTTGTTGTATGTGCAACTTCTGCCGACAAATCTGAGGTTACCTATGATTGGAGAATGAAAGCATGAGTGGTTCTTGAAATGTTTCTATTTTAATGTTTACCAGCTCCATCTTTAACAAAGTATATTTGATGGATTATATCTTGCAGGTTGGATATGAATTCATATACTTCGATGATAATTCTCTTCTAGAGTTGGATCTGAGTAATTTAATGTATTTCCGAAATTGGGTCTGGATCATTTTATCAAGGGTAACAAATCCATAATTTTTATTTATTTATTGTCAAGGAGTATATCCAATCATATTGATATCAATCATAATCATAGGAGAAATTGTATTATAAATGTGGCTTAGACAAAACATGAGGTCTCATCAGAATGGCTGATAAACACAAATGTTTCTACTTTTTAAGGCAACAAATGGAAGGGGCGATTATTCATTTATATACAAGTAAGCTAATCTAGCTCATTGTTAGGATCCCTAAGGAAACATGGGCTATTAGACAAGTAATTTAGAAACCACTCAATGTGATCTGTCATAGCGGTCCAAATCTTTGATTCCACAAATTCCTTGGTTGATACTGAGGAAAATAGACTAGATGACACAAATGAGTAATTTTTATTAGGTGAATCATGTTGATAGAACAATAGACGATACACATTATTTGAGACAGGCCCTTAATCTGTTTTGGTATCATATGGCTGCAACTGCATGCTATTTGTGAGTTCGCCGTATCCGACCTGAGCATTAATTTGCTGTCTATCCTGTGTCTCATGGTAAAAACTAAACACATTGAAGTCGATTGTCACCATAGCTGAGATAGTCTTGTTATTGGCATCCTCTATTTACAATATATTGCTCATGCAAAAAAAGTTGCAAAGTTGAATCCAAGTCATTTGCTCAAGATTGACAGGCTACTTGGTTGACAAACTTGGGTTCACTAGTTTACTTTAAGCAAGGCATGTGATTTTTGCATACTTGTATATGCATAAGTACTAGGGATATCCTATCAAATTATCTAACTCCTTGCTTTTATATTACCCCCAAGGATGTACGTGTTTTTGGAGGTTCACATTTATACCTTGACGTGTTATCCCCTTATTGCATATATGTACCTTCTTGTTTCATACACAGTGGCTCTAACATGGGAAACTAAACTTTATTTGTGCATCTAGACCATTGTTACCCTCATACTAACATGGTTAACAGTTGCGACATCAAATGTATTTAAAGATTTGGGATCTCTTGGAAGACCTAGTTTAATTCCAGGTATGCTACCTCATCTTGTTTGGCCTTGGTGCAATACTAATGTAATTACTCTGGCATGCTGTATGCTTCAAAATTCAATGAAATTGACAATCCGATTTGGTTGAGCATGGTTGGAGGGTTCTAGCTCTCATGCCCCCACAGCATAGAGTTGGATTGAAGCAGTGGCAAAACTGAGAGCCAAGCCCTTACATTGAAGCATCGATCAGCATCGGTGAGAATGGTGGCAAGCTTCTCATTAAAATAGCGTGTCCACTCCTTGTCATGGGCCTAATGAGGAAATTTGTGAACCTTCTATCTCATAAAATGGCAATCTACTTCAATATGCTTTATCAAGTTCCGAGAAACATGAGTAGCAGTAATTTGGAAGACTGTATGAATTATCACATAAATTGAGTTGAAGATGATGTTCTAATTCCAAAATATTTACAAAAGCACGAATACAAACTTTCACAAAATTGTTGATATCATTTGTCTATATTCGTCATCCAACTAATCTACCATTTTGTTTCTTATCATGCCATGAAATAAAAGGGTCCCCACTAAATATATGCACTCTGTGTGCGCCAGTGTTTAAAACCTTGGTGAATCAAAATCAGACATGTCCAAGTCACTTGGACCAACACTTTACTGGTTCTGGATGACCCTGAATTGGATAGCCCCCATCTTATTGGAGTTCGGCTGAGTCTTGACTGAGTTCTCCAGGCCTCAAAAGAAAAACCTGTGATTCACGTCCATCTTGACTTGTCAGACTCGGCACTTGGCAATACACTTTGGATCTGGCCCCTGTCCAGTTCTGTGCTCATTTATGTGTTTTTAAACACTATTGTATGCTTATGCTACCAACTGAATATCTTATGATGATGATAGAATCAACCATCAACATATCTGATAAAATGATGTGCATCAATCATGTTTAACACCTTAAAAGACAGAATGGGCTCCAGCTTGAGATATTTCAGGTTTTGTCATAGTTAGATATGACATCACACAACTAAATTGTTTACTTGGAGGATGTTGAAGAATATTGCCATCACCATCGAAAGCCTTAACATGAAGCTCTAAGGGCAATGCAACAATTAGATTATTAGTTAGATATGCTTGACAAGATCCTATGCTTACTTATTGAATGACAATGACCCCTCTAAATGGCCTAGTCTTCTCAAGAATAGAAACTATGAAAGGAGGCCCATGTCCTTCACATAGGTGTTGGAAATGATTCCGAATTTGCAACGTTTTAGGAATTAGAATCACAGAATCGCTGTTGGCTAGAAGATTCTTGTTTTTGGAATCAACGTCTGTACAAGAGGAATCGTGGGAAACGAGATTCCTATGTTATATGAATCGTGATTCAACAAAATGGACTTGAGATCCCTACATAGATGGAATCAAGATTCCTAGCTCTATGTAATCGAGTTTTCGACCTATTTGGAGTCGACCAATATGGAATCGAGATTCCTTCATTTATAGAATTGAGATTCTGACATCTTTGGAATCAGAAGGGAATTGAGAGGGAAACAATACATGTCTCAATGCCATTTATTGACCGATTGCCATACATGGACGTTTACATTATATCTAACCTTTTGGAGTTGCAATCTCTCTATTGGATCAATACAATGCATACTTAAAGAATAAATAGAAAACATGGACTACCACTTTGGTTTTTATTGGTCCACTCATGCCACAAAAGATGACTACACCTTTTAGCTTGAGACAATGTTTTAAAATGCAGGATGTGACTCGATGCATTGGGGGGGCCAATGCGGCGATGCGGCTCAATGCCGTCCAGATGCAGGTGCATTGCCGCGATGCGGTTAGTAAATATATATATTTTTTAAAAAGTCAATGCATAGAAAAAATATGGAGGTGATTTATGTGATATTTGGTATTTAGTTTATTCATTAACTCCAAAAGTATTAGTTGTAGCCTGTCGGAGATTCTGTATCCACTATATCCTGATAGAAACTAGAAACTTGAAATTAGCTTCATAAAACATTCAACAACCATAATCACAAATTTGCTACTACAAATTTTAAAGTTACAAAATACAAACTAAAAGTCTAAACTTTGCCTAAACTTCCTCAATTCAACACCCAAAAGAAACAAATTAACAATCGAACATCAACCAATACAAAAATCTAAGAACTTCACAAAATTTTTTTTTCGCCATTTTTGTTTTTTGATTGATTTGATGCAAAAAAAGCCACGGATGTGGCTCTTTTTAGTTGTTTGGGGGGTTTGATAACCCCCCCCCTCCCCCCTTTCCCAAAACATTTTCCTCTTTTTGGGGCTCAAAATGTCCAAAACACGCTTGCTTGAAGGTTTTTTTTTTTTTTCACGGAGATGCCTGGCCGCATATGATTATGCGGGATGCGGCCACATATGTAAAGAGATGCGGCGCATCTCTCCAAAGCGCATATGTGGCCTATTGCGATGCGCTGCCCAGTGCGTAACGCTTATATGTGGTCGCATTTTTAAACCATGGCTTGAGATTGGATATCTAGCTCGAGTAGTTTGATGCCTTGAAAACTTCTACACGTCACTTCTTAGGAAAAAGCAAAAAGAGAGAAAAATTACAAAAAAACCGAAAGAGAAAGAAAACGAGAAGTGGTAGAATTATGGTAAATATGGAAACCAGTTTCAACTAGTGTAGAATCGAGATTCACCAATTTCGGAATCGAAAATTAGTAAATATTGGAAACGAGATTCTACAAGTATTAGAATTCAGATTCGTAAAATAAGGAATCAAGATTCTAGACTTTACGAAAATGGGTTTCGTGAAGATTCCTCGTCGGAATCACCAAATCGAGGTTCCAAATCAAGAATTGCAACCTTTAGTTAGAGATTTGGGTTTTAGGTAACTATGGTCCTTCATGTGGAATTGCTTGTTAAATTATTTGTTGTAGATCTGATACATGCTCATCCCCAATGATCACAATATTCTCTCTCTTAAAAGAACTGCAGCTTGCATGTCTGACAAACAATGAAGAACCTACAATGTACTGCCTAAACCCCTCTTAAGTACTTTCCTGGAACAACTGAACAAAGCTAGTGTAGATTGCTTGTGACCGTACCAGGACTTTCTTCTATTTGCATAATAATTTTTTGAGATAAAATAGAGAAGAAAAAAAATGCGAACTTGAAAAAACAGAACTCACCATCATTAGAGATTACAATTCGGAACATAACAAGGATAATGTATTGGCAAAAATGTTAGACCATAAAGAAGCTATAAAATCTCATTTAAGTTGGGCCAACTTGTTCCTGGGTTTCCATTCTTTGGGATTCTTTGTTCATGATGACGTCATGTTTGCTTTGGGAACTCCAGAAAAATAAATATATTTGCCCAATGGATACAATCCGCTCATGATAAGACTTCTTATGGATTCGATGCACTCTTATCTTCAATGAACGACCCAACATTCAATGCTAGTCGAAGCTTATGGTTACCTGGCTGGTTGAATGCTAATTCATTATTCCTAACAATAGGTCCTGGAGACGAGAATGGCCTGGGGCCTTGGCAGTAGTATTGCCAAGCCTCATGGTGAGGTCTCTGAATCCATTCTCACCAAAGGGTAGGGGCCCAAATCCCCACTGACATACCACTTATGCTTTTTTTGTCTCTTTAGAGATATCCGAAAAATTGGAATGATACAGAGAAGATTAGCATGGTCCCTGCGCATGGATGACACACAAATCGAGAAATGGTCCAAATTTTTAAGAAAAGAGCCGGGCTTAATTGGTTATGCTTGACGATTTGCAACGCTATGTTCTAGGCTCAATTGCTACCGAGGGTACGACCCTCTCCCCACTGACTCACCAAAAAAAAACAATAGGTCTTGGAGAATTCTTGGCTCATCATGCTATTGCCCTAGGTTTGCATACAACTACATTGATCTTAGTACAAGGTGCTTTAGATCCATGTGGTTTCAAGTTCATGCCAACTAAGAAAGATTTTGGTTATAGTTTCCCTTGCGATGGTTCAGGACGAGGCAGTACTTGTGATATTTCGGCTTGGGATGCATTTTATTTGGTGGTTTTCTGGATGTTAAATACCATTGAATGGGTTACTTTTTATTGGCATTGGAAGCATATCACTTTATGGCAGGGTAATCCTTCACAATTTAATGAATCTTCCACTTATTTGATGGGATGGTTAAGAATTATCTATGGTTAAACTCTTCACAACTTATCAATGGATATAACCCTTTCGGTACAAATGGTTTATCTGTCTGGGCGTGGATGGTCCTATTTGGGCATTTGGTTTGGGCTATTGGATTCATGTTTTTAATTTCCTGGCAAGGATATTGGCATGAATTGATTGAAGCTCTAGCATGGGCTCATGAACGCACACCTTTGGCTAATTTGATTCGATGGAGGGATAAACCTGTGGAAAGGAGGGTTGGGACTTTATAACCACGAATCTTCACTCTCAAAAATAAATTCTCTAGCTCTTAAAAGTAAAAACCTTGAAATGCAAACATATAGGAAGTTCCTTCATACATCCAAACTTCCCTATGTGTTTATCCTAATTTCAACAAAAGCAAAATACAAAAGTCCCGACCTTAACAAGAATCTTGAAAGAAACTTTCTATGCTACTCTTAATTACAAACAACTCCCAAAACCCTCATAAAAATCCTAAAATATTCCTACTCCGTACTCCATTCTTCACTTCCAATTGAGAAGAATTTGAATATGGTTCATTTGTTGCAATAACTTCGAAATAATGGTTCATCTTCTGCGCCCTGCAGGCATGGGATTCTGTGATCCTTTTCTCTCTCTTCTTTTCCTATTTCTCTTGGGTATGAAAAGCTTATTGGCAGATTTCTTTAAAGTAGGCATTGTTAGTACACTGATTTCAATAGATACATCATAATTTGTATATGCTTCTCATTTTATTATTGGAACTCTTGAGTTTGATGGTTCATTTGAACATTCCCTCCTTGAAGCCTATGGGGTTGTGGCCATTGAGAATCACAACCCGCAAATTTAGGACAAATATCCTCCGTCCTATGTCAATATATGGGAAAAATTGAGTGGTGCATAGGATCTATGTATAAGAGGCTGAGAGTCTTTATTTTTAAAGGTGGAGAAGTTATTTGTGGAAAGAAAGAAGATTTAGGATTTGAAAGTTACAGACCTCATACTCATTTCTAGGAAAAAGTTACAACCTCTTTCCTCTCTTGGTTTTCTGGCTCTTAGCTCTTGTTAGTCCTCACGCATTTGGTTTTTTGGTTTCACTATTTCCTTTGCATCTCTAAGGAGGAATCAGCATGTATTGAGGCTTGGTTGCACAAACTTTCTCACTAAGTTTCCCACTAAGAAAAGCATTTGCAACATCCCTTTGCTAAAGGATTGCTTTTAGAACTGTAACTATCTAGGGTAAAACATGTAGTAGCGTGGTTAGTTTTGCATGTTGTCCAAATTTCTAATTGTAATCCAGGCCATATTTCTATTTGTGCACCATATCTACATGTCCAGTCATGCATTGTAACAGCTCACAGTGAATCACATAATGTGGTCAGTTTTGCAATTAAATATGTAACGATTCATGGTTTTCAAAACCATACTATTTATTATATCACTTGGCTACTAATCAAGCTGTGTATCTACTGACAAAGCCATTTGTGAGATTTTGATGCTATGGATCTACTTGCGCCCTATGGGTATCGTACCAACTGGATGAGGTATAATTCCCCTCCTGTGATTCTTCTCTAAGCTTCAATTTCCTCAGAGCACGTTTCAACTTTCATACTCCAAACTTCATTATGTGATTAAGATCCCCAAATGGAAGAAAGTGATATTAAAAAAGCAGGATGGCAACCAAAGGGGGAGGCATAACCAATAAAGCATAGGATACACGTGCATGAGAGATGAGGCAGGCTAAATTAACTGGAGGCAAAAGAGACAATGCTTGCAGTTTTCCTTATGATAGTTTTATCTAGATCTGATACTGATGGAGAGCCATTAGAAAGCGAATTACTTTATAGTTTTATCTAGATCTGATACTGATGGAGAGCCATTAGAAAGCGAATTACTTTCTAGTGCTGGAGGATACACCCTAGTTGGGTGGTAGAAGTCTTTATACAATTAATGGAGGACTTCCTGTGCTAGAATGAGGAAAGGTTGAAACATTTATTGATTGGCATAGTTACTAGATTTTTTAAAGTAGAGAACACCTTTGAAAATTGTTACTTGACAAGAAACTTTGAATGCTTTGAATGCACCCATTTTAAAAAAGCAACAATTAACCTTTCAAATTGTTTATATAACGATGAAAAAATATGCTATCAACAGAGCATTCAAGTTGGATCTGCAATTTCTGCAAGCATGACAAAATGTCCGGCCAAACATATGAAGACAGGTATAATTAGGTTGCTTTCTTGTATGGCATCAATAGTAGCTATGTGGGCATACTGAATGCTATTAATAGGATGAATTATTGTTAAGCTTAAACTACAATTCGAAGTTGAGGACAGAATAAGCATATGAAGAGTGGTTTTCATCATTATTATTTTAGTTCAGCAATACCATTTTCTTCAGGAGGATAATCATTTTACAAGTCACATTATGTTGCAGAACACTAGCAGATAACGTGTTATATTGCAAATTTATCATCATCATCACTAATAAGACAAGATTAGTAGATAAAGTAGAAGCATAGGAAACATGATATTGACTTAGTGAGTTAGAGTTATAGGATTTTCTATGTTCTAATTAATTTCGTTGATTTACAGTTTCAACAAAGACTCTTCCATAGACCCTATAGAAAGAATACAAGTCATGTGCTTAGAAGCACTAGAATTGAGTATCCAATAATTATGAACAGTATTTGATGCCAAAGCAGTCTAAAATGAATCAAAATATTTGGTTTTGTTGTACCGGATCTGTTGTACACTTACATGAGGAATTCCTTCTTTCTATATGATCTTACTCACCGAATTGTACTGGATCTGTTGTACACTTACTTTAACTCATGAGTAGAAGATGAAGCAATTACTGCTTTATCTCTAACTGGAGCAGCACCCGATCCTTTTGTAGGTGAGGGAAGAAAAAGAATTGTGGCATGTGCCTTGGTCTGAACTCTCTGGTCTTCTTTTGCTTGCATTTGCGAAAAATTAATGATACTTTTATCTGGCTTGTTATGTTGGCGGCATTTTGCTCCATATCTTCCCCATGACTGGGAGAAAAATCTCTAATCAATTGCATGAGGCCCCAAACATCTTTACTGAAGCAGATTGAGCTGCTTGATTGGGAATTGGTTGATTAATCATCTCTCCTCTGTTATGAGTCTTCTGATGTAGGTATTACCTTTCTTACATTCAGAGGAAGGAGTCTGTTATGGATGGCAGTTCTTACGATTTGAAATTTGAGGTTGATTCTTATTAATTTGGAACTATCACAAGCTTGGTCTCGTAGGCTTAGAATACGTCATCTTCCATGGATCCCATAATAACCACAGCAAATTATAATGTTGATCTGATAAGTCTCCTTGAACCAAATTTTAATTATTGTGCTGAAGCTGATAGATTCTTGTGAAAATATCTTGGTAGAAAATATCTCTAATTTATTTCCAATTTTCTATAACTCATCTTCAGCTGAATATGAAGTGGTTGCAGACTGAATAGGCGATCCAATAGACCCACAAGAAAGTGCTATATCCTGAGCATTTCTTGTACTCTGTTTATTTCGTTTCCATTTAAATTTCTTATCTGATATACTGAGAAACCCTGATGAACCATCAACATAAATTATCTCCACTTCTAAAAGTTTCTGAATCATATCGTTGCAAAATTCCCATGCTTGATAGTTTGGAGAATTTATTTGGTTATTGGGGCAGTGGTGCACTGAATTCTGCTATTTTAACACTCTCCACTTCAACTAGCAAGACAGATGTATGGAAAAGTTTCTGAAACAAAAAAAGATAATTGGCGCCATTCACCCCTAGGTGCTGAAAAGCATCCTCCACACTGAACTCGGGAGAAACTTATTACTGAAATTTTATCTTCAAATACAGGAGTTTGAATCATGAGATTGCATAATCGAGTATCTTAGATATTTCTTCTCCTCTTCATATCTTAGATATTTCTTCTCCACTGTTCCATAATCCTTAGCAGTTCTGGAAAGCTTGTCAAGCATCTCGGAGGAACACCTGTATAACTTTCAAGCAATATTTCTATTGAGCCACGTTATCTGAAAAGAGGAATGTCTTATGAACCATCAAAACTTAACTAATACTTTGAAACTGCGTCATCTGAGGGCCCAACGATTTCAAGCCACCGGAAAACCAACTTTAGTAAGTTTTGACACTCCACAACTGTCTAAACAAATTTGCAGTTTAGGGATGGCTGCCGGTCTTGTTGGTTATCTTGTTTAACGCCTGATTGTCAGTGCTAAATCTTACGTTTGGAAGATCAAAGCTGTATCTTGGGTCTGCTCCTTACATGGAGGCAACACCTGTGGCAGATCATGGGGCATTATACCTTCAGAATATTCATGTAGCTTATGTATTCCTTGATGGATGCAGTGCTTCTTATCCCCTTGTACAATGCTGCTACATGTGCGCCATGATCCATCTTCAAGCCCTCTTCAGGTGTAACCCTGAGGCTATTGTGATGCCATTCCTGTCTTTGAAAATGTCGGGACCTTACTTGGAGCTGGCTCATCTATGAGACATACTGCTCCCCGACACATGAACTATCTTGGTCCCGCTAGAATCCTTCCCAAGAATGTCGTGAAAATAGTTTATAAGGAACATCTGCAAGGCTGGCCTTGCCCATTCATATATCTGGCTGATAGGGCATATAGGGGTGCTCTAAGCCAACACTGTGACAGTTCACACATACTAATCAACTATTTTCATGATGCATGAGTTCATTTCCAACTTGACGCTCAAGTCATGTACCCCTTTGTCTCTCTCTGGGTAACCCTGATATCTACCATTTCATTACTTGGTGTTCTGTTCAGACATGGTTGGGGTTGGGGCTTGAAATCCTTTGCTGTATTTTTAATGCATTGCAAAGCCGTAGATTTCTTTTCTTCTGCACTTTCTTTGGACGGCAAGGCATTCAAGGATTGTTTCTGTCAGCAGTTTGGATTGTTGCTCTTGCAATTGCATATGAATGTTATATTCTGATGTCTGAACTTCATCTAAAGTTCGAGCATTTTGGGATTTTCAAAGCATTCTTATGGAAAACTGGAAATGTAGGACTGATCTTCTCTGTTCCTCTTGTTGGTATTTCTTTCAGTTTTTATCTTTTTTCTCTTTCTTTTTGCCTTCATTGTTTGTTTTTCCACTTTGTTGGGCTTGTAGATGCATGATTGTGGAGACTAGTTGAAAGGTTGATCAAGCTGTTGATGCCTATTCCTTGTTTCCAATGAAATTATTGTTGTCGAACATGCTTTAATAGAAATCAGGTATCCCTGGATACTACAATCTCCTTACGTTGTCAGTTGTAGAATGTCTGGAATGATGGAAATCCCTCATTAGAGATTGCAATATATTTGCTCAAATTTATATTTGTGCTGTGATGTTTATGCAACAGTAATTGATGCAATTTAATGGCACAACTTCTGTTTCTGCAACAAAGTAATGTTTTATACCCACATAGAGAATCTTATTTTGTTCGTTATGTCTGTTGTTTCACGCCCTTCATTGACTAAACTGCAATACAAGTCTTGGATACAAAAGGAAAGATTTACCACCTGCACAACAATAATACTTGGTTTTTATTCAGCTGATTCTGATGATCAAGAACGATTCATCCTGTCATCGCAGTAATAGCCTGTTGCAGAAAAGTTTCAAGGGGTTAGTTTTGGATTTGTATCAGTCTATTACTTGCAGCAAATCCTTATTTTGATGGTATAACTCAGAGGAAGATAAGTATTTTACCTGAGATCTGTATTTCCTTCGCGTGCATGTTGTTGGATACCATTTAGTTGAAGCTGCAGCGACATGTGCTGTTCCTCTCTCAGTCGAAAAGTATCTAACCCAACAGCAACAGCTGTATTGAGTAGTTCTCCATTTGATTGTTTCATTGCAAAAACCTGAGAGTGAGAATTTCACAACTGTATTGTACTAAAATTTATTTTGCAGACCATGAACAGGGAGAAAGATAAATTGTAATGGTTCCATTTTTTCCCAGGATTTCTTATTTGATGGATGGTTTTCTAGAAATCGGTACCTTGTTGCGCAATTCAATGTTCTCCTCATGTAGGTGATTTCTCTGTGTGATGAATGAAGTGAAATTTTAGCTATAAAAGTGTTTTTTGCAATTGTCTTATCTAGAAAAAATAAGAAAAAAATAAGTGTATAATTTCACTTAAAAAATATGTTAATGAAAATGATTGAAGTGTATGTCGATGACCTTTTGATTCAGTTCCTTGATTTCATCAAGTAAAATCTCCTCCTGCAATAATAACAATATTTAATTACGTTTCCAAAAAAAAAAACTCACATTTTAATATTTAGTGCCTACTATTAAAGAAAGAAAGATAGCATTTGGGCAGTCGGCCTTGACTTTAAATTTTAGGGAACTTCGTTATGATGTGATGAAAAAGCAGCACTGAAATTGGCCAAATTTCTTTTTACCTTTTTCTTTCGAACCCGAACCAAGCTGTTCTCCAGTCGATTCTCCAGTGCTTGAAGCTCATTGATGCTTAGTTCTGAGAGATCTTCCCCGGCCAATTGTCTGCAAAAACAGAACTCAAGCTTCTTGTAGAACATTTCTTTTGTTTCGTTTTGTTTTTTTTAAAATGTATATATTGATAGCATGAGTGGAGGAACATTTATTGTGTACACGCTGTTATATTTGATAGTTTTGTCTAGAGGGCAGCTTCCTCATCACTTTGTCAAAGATGAATGGCAATCATCTGGCTTCTATCTATAATCAATCATTCAGTGATGGCCTAAAAATTGAAACCCAGTTTTATTTCATAACCATCTCACCATGCTTTAGATAACTCCAATGTGTTTGTAGTTCCATGCTTTGGTGGTTGCTATTATGTATTACACTACATGCAATTTCTAGATGTTACCATCAACACAATTTATTCTTGATGTTCCGAGGGGACTTCTTACTTAGGCTTGGGCATCATGAGCTTCAATGCAAAGGCATGTTTCAATTTCTATCAATTGTCATAGAAATTGATACCTTAAGTTCAGTTCTGAATATAAATTTCATGCGGGAAACTGGAAAGTAGCTTTCCTTTCTTCTATTTACAAATATTAAGATGAATATCTAAAGATCAACTTTTGTATTAACATAACTACCAACTCAGGTAGAAACATATATATAATTACTGCATGCATTCTATTGCGGCTTTGGACTAATTTATGAGTATGTTATTCTCTTCAAATGACTTTCTATGGTTTTAAGAATGTAACAAACTCATACATAGTTATGTATATTACATATATTGCAAAGTGTACCCGTTAAAATGTTCAACAATCCATGACTTTATTATAATGTTACATATCCTGTTTCTTGTTTCTGGTGTCTAAACATCTATATAGATAGGTATACTTCTTATTGATATGTAGTTGACTGTGGTTATGTTCATATAGTAGTTTATAGTAGTAATTATTTCTGAAGCATATTGGTGTAGATAATGGACATGGCTACATATGATTTGCTTTCTGTTATTTATAATATACATGTTTGTTTGTGTTATATCTGCACACATGCACACATAGATGGTTTGAGAGAGAGAGAGAGAGAGAGAGAGAGGAGAGAGAGAG